CTACAGAACACAGATCCACCCGGTCTCTGGAAAGCTGGAAGTACCTATAAGGTCAACCATTAAACCCTGAGCTGCACAAAAAGCCTTCCCTAGGGAAACAGCAGCAAAGTAGCAATTTAAACAACCACACAGCTCAAGTACTAGTTCCCACAGGAAGTTCCCCTGTGTTAGAAGCAAAGGACAAAAAATTAGTTCCGGGCCAGGCACACCACCAGCACCTTGGGGCCTGCCTGGGAACTGGAGGTTTGGATATGGGGACTGGACTCCAATCCCACTTCCAGGCAAACTGCACCAGTGCCTCGGGGCCAGCCTGGGGAACTGAAGCATGGAGAAGAGGACCGGACGCCCCTCCCACAACCAGGCACACCACGCCAGCACCTTGGGGCCTGCCTGGGAACTGGAGGTTTGGATCTGGGGACTGGCCCCCACTCCCACTTCCAGGCAAACTGCACCAGTGCCTCAGGGCCAGCCTGGGGGCCTGAAGCATGGAGAAGGGGACAGGACCTTTCTCCCACAACCAGGCACACTGAGCTAGCGCCTTGGGGCCCACCCAGCGACCCAGGGTATGGAGTCAGGGACTGGACCTCTCTCCTACAACCAGGCACAACATGCCGGCACCTCGGAGCCCACCTGGGAACCCGGGGCAAGGAGAAGGGGACTGGACTTCTCTCCCACAGCAGGGCACAACATGCCAGCACCTTGGGGCTTGCCTGGGGATCTGAGGCAAGGAGAAGGGGAACAGTCCTCTCTCCCACAACCAGGCACACTGAGCCAGCATGTTGGGGCCCACCCAGGGACCCGGGGTATGGAGTTGGGGACTGGACCTCTCTCCACAACCAGGCACAACATGCCAGCTACTCGGAGCCCACCCAGGGAACCGGGGCAAGAAGGGGAATGGTCCTCTCTCCCACAACCGGGCACAACACACCAGTGCTTCAGGGCCCACCCAGGGACCTGAGGCATGGAAAAGGGGACTGGACCTCTCTCCCACAACCAGGCACACCAAGCCAGCACCTCGGGGCCCACTCATGGTCCCGGGACATGGAGAAGGGGACCAGACCAGCCTCTCACAACCAGGCACACCATGCCAGCACCTTGGGGCCTGCCCAGGGACCCAGGGCATGGAGAAGGGGACCAGACCACCCTCCCACAACCAGGAACACTGAGCGAGCGCCTTGGGGCCCACCCAGGGACCCGGGGTATGGAGTTGGGAACCGGACCACCCTCCCACAACCAGGCACACTGAGTCTGCACTTTGGGACCCACCCAGGGACCCAGGGTATGGAGTTGGGAAACGGACCACCCTCCCACAACCAGGCACACTGAGTCTGCACCTTGGGACCCACCCAGGGACCCGGGGTATGGAGTTGGGGACTGGACCTCTCTCCCACAACCAGGCACACTGAGCCAGTGCTTCAGGGCCCACCGGGAGAGGGGGACCTGAGGCATGGAGAAGGGGACTGGACCACCCTCCCATAACCAGGCACACTGCACCAGCACCTTGGGGCCTGCCCGGGGACCCAAGGCAAGGAGAAGGGGACCAAACACACCCCACAACCAGGCATACCGCCAGTGTCAAGGAGCATGCCAAAAACAGCACCCCCACGTGGGTGGCCCACCACAGTCACCACAATAACCATGGCTGCTGCAAAAGCAGCTAGATGCCACAACTACCATGCAGATGGTCCGCCAACCACTGGAGTGCATTCACATAAGAAGTCACCAGCAGAGACAAAGAAAAGAAGAGGATGTCTCTTTCCACAAAACCCATTTCAGAGTGACAGAAGAAGCATCTGCTCTATGATAATATTGGGGGACCTGATCACACCTCTCAGCATTGGACAGATCATCCAGGCAACAAGTTAACAGAGTAAAAAAAAAAAAAAAAAGTTAACAGAGTAACCATTATTCTTTCAGAAGGAGAGAAGAAATCTAGGGTAATTAGAGGGGGGAGGGGGAGGGAATGGGGGAAGGGGAGAGGTTGGACAAGGGGCATAAAGAATAATTATGATTTAGGGCTGGCCCATGGCTCACTCAGGAGAGTGCGGTGCTGATAACACCAAGGCCACAGGTTCGGATCCTATATAGGGATGGCCGGTTAGCTCACTTGGGAGAGCGTGGTGCAGACAACACCAAGTCAAGGGTTAAGATCCCCTTACCAGTCATCTTTTAAAAAGGAAGAAAAAAAAAAAAGACTTTGGCTTTTATTCTGGGAGCAGAGGAGAGCCTCTGGGGGTTAGGGACAGGGGAGAGCAATTGCATTTTAGAAAGACCATCCTAGCTGTTGAGTGGACACGGCTGCCGTTGCCCCTGCAGGAGTCGGTAGTGGCTCAGGTCATGGAGTGATCATGGGTATGGACAGAGGTAAGAGGAATCAAGTGATATTGAAGGTGACAGGGGCCACAGGGTTTCCAGACTGCTGGAGGGCAGGAAGGAAGAGGGAGAAGTTGCCCAGAGGAGTTTATGGTGGTGCCATTTACCGAGATGGAGAGATGAAAAGTTCCCCTTTAGACCTTTGAGTTTGTGGGGCCTGTTGATAAGCAGGGAGGATCAGTTAGAAGGGAGTTAGATGTGTGTGTGTCTGGAGCTTGGAAGAGAAGTCTTCTCTGAAGATACAAATTTGGGAGCCATGAGCATTGCCCAAGGAGAGGATGCAGCCTGAGAAGAGCGACTAGGAACAAGACTAAGGAACGCCAACATTTAGAGGTTGGGAAGAGGATAAGAAAGCCACGGAGGAGACCACCAAAGAAATGCCAGAGGAGTAGAAGGAAAACAGAAGGACAATGGGGCATAGTGATGGCACAGGAGCCGATGGCAAAGGGGAAGGAAAGAGGGGAGGGGGAGAGAGGTCACATGAAGGCCCGAAGAGGAGGGATGAAGGGAGGAGTTTTCAAAAGAGAGATATGATCATATTTATATACCAGTGAGAAGGTGTAGAAAGGCTGTTGTGCCAGATGAAGTGGCCATGGGAGGGTATCAGCAGCACGGGCTCTGGAATCTGACTGCATGGACTTGCTGCCCAGCTCCTCCACTCAGTAGCTGAGGGACTGGGTGGCTCAATTTTCTCTTTAATGAAATCATGATAAAGACAGCCCCACCTGACTATTGCAAAGAGCTTTCTAAGCATGCAATAAATGTTGGCTATTATGTGGGGGAGAGAGGGGCATTATAAGTAATAATGTGTTCCTAAGATGGTGAGGGGTGAGGTTCAGTCATAGGTAGAAGGGCTGATCCTGGCGAGAAGGAAGGCACCTTGTCCAGAGCAAAGGAGGGGGAGGATGGGTGCAGAGGCAGGCAGGTTGGTAGATTTGGTGGAGAGAAGCTGTGGGACCATTGATGAGGCTAAAAAACAGGTGCAGTAGGTGTGGCTGAGAGTTGGCTGCAAGGACAGGGCGTCTGCAGGCCGAAAGCAGAACCGGATCACATACATGGGGGTGCAGCAGTCTGAGGGGGGGTGGCCAGGAGGTTGGGTGGAACAGAAGAGAAGGTCCTTGGGAATGAGGAAGTCAAAGAACAGAGAGGCAAGGGGTGGGAGGCCATCCACTGCCTATCAAAGTCACCCAGGCTGGCGATGGGACTTCTGGGAGTGAGGGGAGCACCCAGAGAAGATCGGTAGAGATGAAGGGAAGGTTGAGTGGATGGAGGAGTGACAAGGGTTCATGGTTAAAAGAAAAAGAGAAGCTTCCACTGGACCACACCATCTAGGGAGAAGTGGGTAGACCAGGACGGACTGGGGAGGAAAACTGGAGGTGAGGGGCCACGGCACAGAGCAGGGGCTGCAGGGACGGGTGAGAGGTGCTACAGAAGGTCTGCAAAGTTGGGATATGCACACCAGAGAAGTCTGCCTCTCTACCCCTCAGCACTGGGCTGGGCAGATTCTCCCCCTCTCAGTGCAGCATGATTCTGAGTAAGTTTTGAAATTCGCCACCAGCTTACTCTGCCTGCTCTAGTGCACCTGCCTCCAAGGCACTCCTGGGCAGCTGCCCCTGTCCTGCAGAGCCTCTGCCTGGAAGAGATGCTCCTTGTTCATTTCTCTTTCCTCCTTCTGCCTCCCAGAGCCCCTAAGCACAAAGCTGGGACAAGACACTGTCAGCTCCTGGCTATCTCTGCTTTTCCAACAGGTCCAGCATATGAACCTTTAAGCTCCTTAAGGAAGGAGCTCCCCACTCTTGTCCTGCCTTCCTGACTCACCTGGCCCAGGCAGAGTTGGCTCTCAGACCAGCAGGATATTGTCCTCTCCTCCTCAGTCACTTTCAGTGCCTCAGTCAAGGCCAAGCAAATGGCCAAATGAATGCGCACTGTCCCTCCAGCCCACAGGCAGTTCCAGGATGCTGAGCTGTGCTGAGATGTGGTTCCCCAGCGGGCACATTGCTCTCTTCTGCTCCACCCACTCCAGCGCATCTCACGCAGACTTTCCAACCTCTCCAATCTGCTGACCTCAGCCCCAGCCTGGGACCACCTGGCATGCCACTGCGTGCAGCACAGTGTGGCCTGAGGAGAAGGAGGGCTATATGCCATGAGACCTCTGCTGTGTGCAAAAGGACTGGAATCTTCTCTCAACCAAACTCGAGTTCTATGTCTTTCCCCCTCCTCCCATCCTCTTTCTCTGCCCATTCTCCAGCAAACTGCTTTCTACTGGGGGTGGGGGGCTTCTGGCTTATGAATTCTCCTCCCTGTCCTCCCCCCTCCCACGCACACACACAATTTCTGCTTTTCTTCCCTTTGCCTGTGTTCAAGGGCCTCAAGATCCCTTGGGGGCAGGGGCTGGGGGCCTCTGAGTGCCTCAGGAGAATCCTAATCACACTGCAACAGCTGGAGCATGATTCCATTCTCAGCGATGCCTTCTGACATTTAATGAGTTAAGGAGCTAAATCCCCTTCATCCCAGAGTGGCTGAACTAGCTGCAGTGCTGGCTGCAGCACGAGCAGCGAGTGGGGGAGGGCCGGGACTAGCCATGCCTGGGTCTATACAGCAGTGTGCTCACATGTGCAAATCTGCATGTGTGCAAAGCAGGTGCAGATAGAGGTGCCAGTGAGCACAGGTTAGTGCACAAGGACATGACCCACCAGGGGCCACCCAGGTGGAGACCAGCCACCTACCTCCTCCAAACAGCCAGCACGCTCATCACGGAGCCCAGGACAAGGAGGGCTGAGATGGTCACCACAGTGATGACAACTGCAGGGCTCTGGTCCCTGGACTCTGAGGTAGCTGGGAGGAAAAGCACAAGGTTGAGACAGGCAGGGGACCAGGCTCCTGGGCAAGCCCGAGGACAGATTCCTGTTCTCACCTCATAGCAGGATTCCCACAGCACCTGTGCCTCCCAGCAGCACAGGGACCAAGGCAGCCCACTGACCACAGTGGCACCTGGAGTCCCAAGAGTTTCCTCTGCTCCCAGAGCAGGGCACCTCCACCATAGCCCAGCTCCAAGAGAGAGGAGCAGGAAACCAGGCAGGTGGGGCCAGGCCTCTATTTATGCCTTTCAGATGGGCAATGAGAGACTTAAAGAGAGGGGTCTAGAAGACCCTAGGCCTTCAGCCCCACCTATCCACCCATCCATCCATCCAACATACGTGCCAAGCTGGCACTAGTACTGGGGAGACAGCAACGAACGAGCCAGAGTCCTTGTCCTGGAGGAGTACAAGGACCCGTGGGGGAGACAGAAACAAAAACCTTAACTGTAGAATGAAAATAGAAACAGAGAAATGAGCAGAGCTGAGCAGAGGCACAGTAACTTCTTCCCAAGGCCAGGGAGGAAGGCTTCCCAGAAGAGGGGTCATCCAAACTGGACCTGGAGGATTGACAGGTTTTTGCTGACACTTAGATGCACATGCTAGGTCTGGAAAATGGCAAGTCATCCCGCGTGGCTGGAAAACAGACTGCATGGAGGCAGAGAATGGCCAGAGGGCAGGAAGATGAGGGCACTGGAGGGGACAGAACCCGGAGGGCCTTGAGTGCTACACTAAGGAGTATGAACTTCATCCTGAGGGTCACAGGGAGCCAGGGAGCAGTAGATACTTCCTTCCTGAGCAGAAAAGGAATGAGGGCTTCTGCTGAGCTGGCGGTGAGGATGGAGGGGAGGTGCTTGAGAGAGGTGAAGGTTCGGAGTCACTATTAAAAATGGGGAAAGTACTGGTGGCCCTGAAGATTCCAGTAAGATTGGAAAAGTCCGCCACTGCAGGCAGCCTTAGCATGGGACAGGAGGATGGCCGAAGTGCTGGGACTGACAGGGCAGGTGCAGCCAGACATCCAGGGAACGAGGGCTGGCAGAGCCGGTGACTGTTCCTGATGGGAGAATCTGCAGTGGCTGTGTAGGGACAGTGTGGGGCCAGGAGGGGCTGAGGGCCTGGGAGATGAGGTAGGATCCAGAGAGCTGCCTTTGGGATGTCACAGAGCAAGTGAGGAAGGACAGAAGAAGAAGGGAAAGTTAGATGCCAAGGAGGCCATGGAACCAGGAGGGCCAAAGTGGCCACCATGGTGATGACAACTGGAGGGATTTCAAAGCCCTTGGCTCCACAGAGGCAGAGGACAGGAAACAGGGTCTGGCTGGTGGCAGAAGGGGAGAGGAGCTGCCCAAATGTGTCTGAAACGAGGCATCTATTTTTTTTTTTTTTTTAAAGATGACCGATAAGGGGCTGGCCCGGTGGCGCACTGCTATAGTGTGCCGCTTGGGAGCGCGGCGGCACTCCCGCCGAGGGTTCGGATCCCACATACAGACCGGTTCCCGCTCACTGGCTGAGCGAGGTGCGGGCGCAACACCGAGGGTTGCGATCCCGTTGCCGGTCCCGGTCCAGTACGGGCGCGACACTGAGGGTTGCGATCCTGTTGCCGGTCCCCGGTCCGGTACGGGCGCGACACTGAGGGTTGCGATCCTGTTGCCGGTCCCCGGTCCGGTACGGGCGCGACACTGAGGGTTGCGATCCTGTTGCCGGTCCCCGGTCCGGTACGGGCGCGACACTGAGGGTTGCGATCCTGTTGCCGGTCCCCGGTCCGGTACGGGCGCGACACTGAGGGTTGCGATCCTGTTGCCGGTCCCCGGTCCGGTACGGGCGCGACACTGAGGGTTGCGATCCTGTTGCCGGTCCCCGGTCCGGTACGGGCGCGACACTGAGGGTTGCGATCCTGTTGCCGGTCCCCGGTCCGGTACGGGCGCGACACTGAGGGTTGCGATCCGTTGCCGGTCATGAAAAAAAGACAAAAAAAGGGAAAAAAAAAAAAAAAAAAGATGACCGATAAGGGGATCTTAACCCGTGACCTTGGTGTTGTCAGCACCACGCTCTCCCAAGTGAGCCACAGGCCGGCCCTGAAATGAGGCATCTATGTGTGCACAGAAGTGGGGGATGAGATAAAGACGGTTGTGGTGGGCAGCCTCTGAGATGGCCCTCCCGGGTCCCATCTCCTGGTGTCATTCCCCCTGAGTGTGGGCTGGACCTACTGACTCACTTCTGGTGAATACTACATGGCAAAAGTGATGGATGCCACTTCCAAGATTAGATCACAAGAGACGGCAGCTTCTGTCTTGGGTGCCCTCTCGCTCTCCCACCTGCTCACAGTCTCTGAAAGAGTCTAGTTGCTGTGCTGAGTAGCCCTATGGAGAGGCGTGTGGAGCAAGCCACAGCATGCCTCCAGCAATCGTCAGGGGGACCTGAGCAGGGAGGCACGTTCCCCTCCAGGCGAGCCCTGGATGACCACTGACATGGGTTGAATGTCTGTCTGCTCCAAAGCTCACGTGGAAGACTGGTCCCCAATGCAGCAGTGTTGAAAGGTGGGTCCTTCAGGAGGTGACTGGATCATGAGGGCCCTGTCCTCATGAATGGATTAACCCGGTAATGGGTTAATGGCTTAATGGGTTATCATAGCTGTGGACTGGTGGCTTCATAAAGACAGCAAGTGAGTACACTAACAAATGCTCTCATCCAGCCCATTATGTGCTACCCTGCATTGCCACGGGACTCTATACAGAGTCCCCACCAAGAAGGCCCTCAACAGATGCACCCCCTCGAGGTTGGACGCCCTGGCTTCCAAAACTGTAAGAAATTTCATTTATTTACAAATCATGCAGTTTCAGGTATTCTGTTATGAGCAACAGAATGGACTAATACAACCGCAGAGAACACCTTGACTGCAGCCATGGGACAGACCCTGAGCTGATGGCACCTAGCTAGGAGGCACCCATATTCCTGACCCACAGAAACTATGAGATAATAAATGTTTGTTGTTTTTAGCTGCTAAATTTTGGGGTAATTTGTACATAGCAATAGATAACTAATTCAGTGGTGAAGATGACTCTTCATCAAGGTCCTGATTTGGGGACACAGCTCACTGGGAAAAGTGCTCTGCAGATTGGGAGAACCATTCCCCCATAGCAGGGCCACGGCCAGAGAGGCTGGGCATCTGAGCAGTCTCTACTGACTGAGAGGCACCAGATGAATGGAAATCATCAGCCCTTCTCAGCCCCCAGGCCCCAGCTGCTGCCCCCACCATGCTCCCTCCAGCCAAACCCACGAGCCTTTGTTCAGATGGCTTCCTCAACCCCAAATGCCTTCCCTGCCCCTCTCCACTTATTCAGATGTTCCCCAGCCTTCAAGACGTAGCTCTAATCTCCTCTTTCCAGCACCTGGCCGAGGGCTGGCACCAACAGGCAATCGAGCAAGAGTGCTGCCTTTCTTTCCAGAACTCCAGCTCCCTCAACATTTTATCTTCATTTCCCTTTGGGCTCAGAGTTTGTCCTATCTTGGATTAGAGTCATGTAGCAGGTTGGAAAGAATTATTAACTTGACAGCTGGTGCCAGAATGCCTCTTAGGAGGAACTGCCTTTGTTCAGGAAAATACTTTGATGAGCTGCTCCGGGTAGATAGAGGTGAGGTCTGCAGGGCTGGGTTAGCAGCAGGCAGAACGACAAGAGAGAACTAACCTGCTCTGCATGCACCGTGAGAGGGAGTTGGGGGTGGGTGGGGAAAAGGAGGAACCAGGGGAGGGGAGTGAGGGGGGTGGATAGCACAATACCATGGAGAAGTCGGGGATGGTTTAAGATCAGATAGCTAATGTTCGACTTTTGTTTTGTTTTTATGACAGTTTTATCGAGATATAATTTGCATACCATACAATTCTCATGTTGTTTTGTTTATTGCTGCAGTGCAACCCCCATCCTGACCCCTAACCTTCTGGGAAGCCTTTTTCACACTCTAAGACCTAGTGGGGAAAGGCACAGTGCACCAAGTTTGGGTCTATATCACGGCAGAGAGAAAGAACCAGAATGGGAAAAAAAATTTAGTGGTCGCACCAACAGGTGACTATGACACTCTATAAACTCTTCCCAAGAAAGTGTTGAGAATCTCAGTGAGGGCACAGGATGTTTCTACAAGACATCGGATAGGTGCTAAGAGGCAGGGAGACACCAGCTGAGACATGGGTCGTAGTGGCTCATGAACCCGTCTCCTGTGAGCTTCTCCAGGACAGGGACCCAACCCAATCTAATTCATGTCAGTGAATAGGCATTCATTGGTGGATTCCAAGTTCATTAATTAATTAGGCTGTAATTAAACTGTTCTGCAGGCTCCCTTAATTGCACAGATAATTCTCCCCCTCTATCTGTCTCTCTGCCTCAGCCCCATCCATGTTCTCTGCCCAGGTCCCTGGCCACTTGTACACACCACTTACCTTCTCCGGGGGTCTGCACTTCGATGCTGGGGTTGAAGCTCTGGGCCTCCCAGGAGGGCCCCGGGGAAGCCGCCCGGATCTGAAAGACGTAGCGGGTAGCTGGCTTCAGGTTGGTGACGGTGACTGCAGGCGCCCCTGTCTTCACTGTGGAGTATGTCTGCTCACTCTGACCCTGGAGAGGGATGGAGAAGTGAGGCCCAGAGCCAGAGCTAATCCCATTGTCCTGGGAGAAGGACAGGAGAAAAGGAGCAGGAGGCAGGAGAGGTGCCCTTAGGTGAATGTGGGTTGCGTGGGAGAGCCTGACCCAATCATCCTTGGGGACTCCAGAGATTTCTTCCACAGGATCCCAGCCCTTCTCTCCACCACAAGTTCCCACCCCACACTCGGTGGTACTTGCAGCTGAGAACAGCCCCACCTCTGCATATGAGACACTGCAGAGAAGACACTAGATCCTCCCTTTCAGGGACTGCAGGATGACAGCCAGCAGGGCCTGGCAGTCCAGGGGGGAGCTGGGCCAGTGCCCTAGCAGTCCTGATGCCTCAGAGAAAAGAATACAAAAATGAGCCCCAACACCTGCCCCCTGATGGCTCATGAGGCTGTTCCTTCCCCTTGTCACCTGATTTCCACAACTGTCCCTGCAGCTATTATCTTGCTTTTTTGTTCTGCTTCACAGATAAGGAAACTAAGCTCTGAGAGGTAAAAATGTACCCATAACAGCCAACACTGATGAGTGCCTGTCCTGCCGGCTCTAGTGCTACCCTTTACCAGCTCTACCTCCTAGGAACTTCACAGCAGCCCTGAGGAGTCAGCGTTTCTATCTCTTTTTATAGTGAGGTTCACATGAAGGAAGTAACGTCCCTTGAAGTAACACCTTCTGTGTCCCTGCAGGTCCTGCTGTTTGTTCCATATCATGCTGCACCTGACTCTACCCCAATACCTCTGATAATGGCAGGTGCTAGAGATGCTCCTCCCGTCATTTCATCTCTGCCCACGCTGAGTTAGAGCCCCTGCCACAGCCACCACCCCCAGAGGGGCAACCCCACATCCTGTGGCCCCAGTTCTTTGGCCATGGCACACAGGAATCAGGGCAGACTTTGACCCAAGCTGGGCCAATCAGAATCTCCCATCCAGGCATTTGAACAATCTTCTGAAAGACAGTGGTGATGGCTGGAGGACCTATGAGCTGGGGCAGGCTGGGGGTGGGGAGGAGTGGGGTTAAGGCTGCAGCGACATGCGGTGAGCAAGCCCCTCTGCAGAGCAAGCTGGCTGGTGTGCAGGCAGAAGTGGAGATGAGAAGCACTGTGGCTCCAGGGAGGAGCTGCCTGACATCTGTCCAGGCCTATTGACCCAGCAGTACTTCCAGTCCGTGAGCTCCCTGAGATTTCCCTGAAGCCTTTCAGATATAGCCCCTTTTTGTAATTGTTGCTCTTTCTGAGGGATTTTGTTCCCAGCAAATTCACACTCCCTGACTAGGGACCTGGGAACATCCACCAGCTCATCCTTTAGACTCTTGCCTATGCTCTGATCCCTAAGTGTGAGTTCAGTGAGTCTTTTCTAAGTGCCTGCTGCATACCTAGCTTTTTCCCAGTGTCCTTCGCTGCTGTCTCCTAACCATCAGTGTTCTGGGCTGGTGGGTCGGCTCAGTTGGTTAGAGCATGGTGTTGTAACACCAAGGTCAAGGGTTCAGATCCCTGTACCAGCCACCAGAAAAAAAAAATTTTTTTTTTAATAAAAAAATTAATTAATTAATTAATTAAATTTTAAAAATCAAAGTTCTTCGGGGCTCTGACCTGGCCACTCTTCTCATGCATATTCCCATCCTAGGTCATCTGCTCTGGTCCCCTGGCTTCAGCTACCACATCTATGCTGAAGGCCCCCAAACTCTCTCTCTCTCTCCAGCCCAGGCCTTTTCCTTGAGCATCAGACCTGCAAGTCCCCCTGGATGTCCCACGAGTCCCCTGAATGCTACATGAACAAAACCAAGCTCACTGTCCTGCCCCAAGCCTGCTCCTCCTCCTCAGTGGTCCTCCTTCTCTGCCAGCACACCCTGTCCTCTGGGACACCCAAGTCATACACCCCGCAGTGACTCAGGATTCCCTATTCAGTCCCGAAACTCACAGCTCTCAGCAGACTTCTAGTATTCAAAAACTATTATCTGATTCAGCAAAGAAGTCCCTTGTGTCACTGAGGAGTGAATGAAGTTCTGACACATGTAGTGCTGAAGCTGAAAGAGGTTTCACTTTAATGAATATAGTTTGCACCCAGGTGAGAAACAGTTTAATGGTAGATTACGTATCAGATTTAAAGACAATAAATTTATGGGGAAAATAGATAGCAGATTGACATGAAACTCCATTTGTCAAATCATGACTGAACTGCAACCATAGATTGACAATGGATACAAGAGATAAGCAAATATCAGTAGAAGTATCCTACAGGAATAAATTGGCTATATGAAGTTTACAATAAAGAGTATTGCATATGTATTATTATTATTGTAAATGATGTGTTATACATCTTTCATATCAGTAAAATTATAATAATGCATAAACTTATTGTTCTGAAAGCTGGTGGTTAAACATTTACCAGCACACCACCAGACCTAGCCATGTGCTCCCAGGGGCATACATTTTCGTAAAATTCGAAACAAAGTGATATTTCTGTGTTCTTTTTCTTTAAAAGGCTTCAGCAGGGCCGGCCCGGTGGCGCACTGGAGAGTGTGCCGCTTGGGAGCGTGGTGGTGCTCCCGCCGAGGGTTCGGATCCCATGTGGAGACCGGTTCCCGCTCACTGGCTGACAGTGGTGTGGGCGCAATACCGAGGGTTGCGATCCCGTTGCCGGTCCCCGGTACGGGCGCGACACCGCGGGTTGTGATCCCGTTACCGGTCAGTAAAAAAAAAGACAAAAAGGAATAAAAAAAAAAAAAGGCTTCAGCAAATGGCATGTATAAGATTCAGCCTCACAAAATCTGGACCAGCCCCAGAGAAAGCTCTTTGTCAACTGTAAACACGAGGCCAAAGTGGCGAAAATGGAGATGATTGGTGATAAATGCAGACTTGAGGGGAGAGCGTGGAGCCCGGGGTGTGGAGGGGACAGGAAGAAAGGAGAAACTCAAGCCTGGGGGCCAGTTAGGGGACTGGTGGATATGTTCAGAAAGAAAGGGCGTTTGCTGGAAGGAAGGCCTGAAGAAGCAGCAGCCCAGCAGGCAGGCGAGGGCAGGCTCCAGGTCTCTCCCAGACCCGGACTCACCTTCTCGTAGTATCGGATCTCGTACTCCGTGCCGTTCGCCCCAGGGGCTCCAGCGGGGATGGGCTCCCGCCACGACAGGGACACGCTCTGGGGCTCCACCCGGTCCCTGCGGATCTCATCCTCTTCCCAGGGCCCTGAAATTAGGTAACGTGCGATTCTCCACCTGGGCAGGGCTAGGGGGGGCGGGGAGAGGGGCTGGAAGGGAGGGGCTAAGGAAGCTGAGGGGTGTGACCAAAGGGGATGTGGGGCGGGGCTAGGGAATGTCTGAAGGGCGTGACCAAGGCTGCAGGGGGCGGGGCTAGGGAGCCTGTGGGGCGGGGCCCTGGTGGCTGTGGGGCGGAGCTAGCGAAGCCTGAAGGGTGTGGCCAAAGGGGCAGAGTCTGTGTGAGACCAGAGAGAAGTGAGGCCCCTCTCCCCCCACGGCCCTCTCCCTCATTGCCTCCTAGTGGGAAAAGGACCGACCTCCTGCTGCTTGACTACTCCCTACACCCCAGCTTCCCTCGTGATGGTTGGTTCTAATTCCCCAGGCTCTTTCTATCCTTTATGTGGTTTGGAGACATACGAGAGCACTTAGAGGCTAGGAGACCAATTAATGGTATGGTCAAGAGGTAATACACTCAAAAAAGTAGAAATAGAAGGAAATTACCCCAACATAATAAAGGCCATGTTTGAAAAGCCCACAGTGAACATCATACTCAAGAGGGAAAGACTGGAAGCCTCCCCTCTAAAATCAGGAAAAAGGCAAGGATGCTCCCTCTCACCACTTCTATTCATCATAATGCTGGAAATTCTAGACAGAGCAATTAGGCAAGACAAAGAAACAAAAGGCATCCAAATTGGAAAGGAAGAAGCAAATGTATCTCTGTTCACAGGTGGTATGATCTTACATGTAGAAAACCCTAAAGATTCCACAAAAAAACGTTTAAAACTAATAAACAAATACAGTAAAATTGTAGGACACAAAACCAACACACAAAAATCAATTGTGTTTCTATACATTAACCATGAACAATTCAAAAAGGAAACCAAGAAAACAATCCTATTAACAATAGCATCAAAAAGAAATAAAGTTAGCCAAAGAGGCTAAAGACTTGTACACTGAAAACTATAAAACATTGCCAAAAGAAACTGAAAACAAATATATGGAAAGACACCCTGTGTTCATGGAGTAGAACACTAATATTGTTAAAATGTCCATATTACCAAAAGTGATTTACAGATTCAATGCAATCCTTATGAAAATTCCAGTGGCACTTTTGCAAAAACAGGAAAGACAAGCCCTAAAAATTGTATGAAATCTCAAAGGACCATGAATAGCCAACATCATCTTGGGAAAGAAAAACAAAGCTGGGGGCCTCACACTTCCTGACTTCAAAACATATTACAAAGCTACAGTAATCAAAACAGTATGGTACAGACACATAGACCAATGGAACAAAATAGAGAATCCAGAAATAAACCTTCACATACATGGTCAAATGATCTTCCTCAAGAGTACTATGGGGAAAAGATGGTCTCTTTACCAAATCATGCTGGGAAAAGTGGATATTCACATGCAAAAGAATGAAGTTGCACCCTCACTTTACACCACAAACAAAAATGAACTCAGAATGGATTAAAGACTTGAACATAAGACCTGAAACTATAAAACTCCTAGAAGAAAATACAAAGGAAAAGCTTCATGAGATTGATTCGGAAATAATTTCTTCAATATGACACCAAAAGCACAGGCAACAAAAACAAAAATAGACAAATGAAACTTCATCAAACTTAAAAACTTCTACACAGCAAAGGAAACAATAAACAGAATGAAAAGGTAAACTACAGAATGTGAGAAAATATTTTCTAATCATATATCTAAGGAGTTAATATCCAGAATATATAAATAAGTCCTACAACTCAATTACCAACAACAAATAACCAAATTTTAAAAATGGACAAAAGACTTGAGTAGACATTTCTCTAAAAAAAGATACACAAATGGCCAACAAATATATGAAAAGAGGTTCAACATCACTAATCATTAGAGAAATGCAAATCAAAACTACAATGGGATACCACCTAACAACCGTTAGGATGATCACTATTAAAACAAAACAAAACAGAAAATAACAAGTGTTGGTGAGGATGTAGAGAAATTGCAACATTTGTACACTGTTGGAAGGAATGCAAAATGGTGCAGACACTATGGAAAACAGTATGGAATTTCCTCAAAAAATAAAAAGTAGAATTACCATATTGTTTTAGTCTGTTTTGTGTTGCTATAACAGAAATACCTGAGACTGGATAATTTATAAAGAAGAGAGGTTTATTTGGCTTACTATTCTGGGACAGCTGCATCTGGCATGGGCCTCAGACTGCTTCTACTCATGGTGGAAAGTGGCAGGCAGCCAGTGAGTATGAGCAGATCACATGGCGAGAGGAAGCAAGAGAGAGGAGGTGCCAGGGTCTTTTTAAACAACCAGCTCTCACGGGAACTAATAGAGCGAGAACTCACTCATTAATCTCCCCTCCCCCAGGGAGAGCATTAATCCATTCATGAAGGATCCGTCCCCCATGACTCAATCAGTTTCCAACACTGCCACATTGGAGATCAAATTTCCACATGAGTTTTGGAGGGGACAATAGGTCCAAACTCCATCACATATGATCCAGCAATCCTGCTTCTGGGTGTCTATCCAAAAGAACTGAAAACGTCTTGAAGAGATATTTGCTCACCCATGTTTGTTGCAGCATTATTCACAATAGCCAAGAGGCAGAAGCAATCTAAATGACCATCAATGGATGAATGGATAAAGAAAATGTATATACAGACAATGGTATATTATTCAACCCTTAAAAAGAAAGAAATCCTGTCATATTCTATATCATGGATGAACCTTGACATTACGCTAAGTGAAATAAGCCAGTCACAAAAAGACAAATACTGCATGATTCCACTTATAAGAAGTATCTAAAGTAGTCAAACTCTTTGAAATGGAAAGTAGAATGGCGGTTTTCAGGGGAAGCGGGGAGGGAGGAAAGGTGAGTTGTTCCATGGGTATAGAGCTTCAGTTTTGCAAGATGAAAAAGTTCTAGAGACCTGTTACACAATGAGCATATAGTTAACCCTAGTGTACTGTACACTTAAAATTGGTTAATATGGTAAATTTTATGTTGTGTTTTTTACTATGATAAAAAAAATATATCGCGCACAGGTCACAACCCAAAGTAAGTAAGTCATAATCTCTGTGGGGTGGGGCTCAGGCATTAGTATTTTTTTTTAAGGCTTCTTAGTGTCTCCAGTGTGCAGACAACTTCTAACTGTAGTCTTATGTGAGCTAAGAAATCATTTTAGATAAAATCAATTGGGTTGAGGTTTACTGTTACTTGCAGCTGAAAGCCTCACAACCAAACCAAAGGGCAATTCACACATATTAATATTATTTTTTGGCAAATACCAGCTATCTCCTTATTCAAGAACAAGTAAATAGAAAACACCAAGAAACTGGGCATATAAAAAATATTTCAGAATAAGGGAACAGTAACATTACTCTGAAGACTCAGGAGGAGCAGATCTTTAAAAGTGATTTAGTATGACAGTAGAGGAACAAGCAAGCATACTGTTGGCATCTCCAAGAACGAGAAAGTAAACACAGCCTCCACCAAATAGGTGCATAAGGCCATGAAGAAAAAACAGGTGGAGAAGAAAAAGAAAAAAGATGAGATGAGATGAAAGTGGAGAAGGTGAGAAAGGCTTGTGGGGCTCTAACTGTAGTCTTATGTGAGCTAAGAAATCATTTTAGATAAAATCAATTGGGTTGAGATTTATTGTTACTTGCAGCTGAAAGCCTCACAACCAAACCGAAGGGCAATTCACACATATTATTATTATTTTTTGGCAAATACCAGCTATCTCCTTATTCAAGAACAAGTAAATAGAAAACACCAAGAAACTGGGCATATAAAAAATATTTCAGAATAAGGGAACAGTAACATTACTCTGAAGACTCAGGAGGAGCAGATCTTTAAAAGTGATTTAGTATGACAGTAGAGGAACAAGCAAGCATACTGTTGGCATCTCCAAGAACGAGAAAGTAAACACAGCCTCCACCAAATAGGTGCATAAGGCCATGAAGAAAAAACAGGTGAAGAAGAAAAAGAAAAAAGATGAGATGAGATGAAAGTGGAGAAGGTGAGAAAGGCTTGTGGGGAAACTAAAAGTGCATGAGCAAATTTGAAATATTTAAAAGAAAATTCATTACAAAGATCCTTAACAAAATCACAAGCAAAATGGGAGCTTACACCTCTCTGAGTTTTTGGAACACCAAGTAGAAAATAAGAAGAAAATACAAGAGTTGAATGATATATTATATCTAAGACATATAGATGGTCCCCAACTTCTGATGGTTTGACTTTATGATCGTGCAAAAGTGATATAACCATTGTTTTTCACTTTAGTACAGTAGTCAATAAATTACATGAGACATTTCAATACTTTATTACAAAAGAGGCTTTGTGTTAGATGGTTTTTCCTAGCTGTGGGCTAGGAAGTGTTCTAAGCACGTTTCAGGTAGGCTAGGCTAAGCTACGATGTTCAGTACGTTAGGTGTAGTAAATGCATTTTCAACTTACAATATTTCAACTTATGGGTTTATCGGAACATAACCCTATCATAAGTCAAGGAGCATCCGTGTGTGTGTGTGTGTGTGTGTGTGTGTGTACATATACAGGGGAGGAGAGACAGAACTACATTACAAAATAACCCACATTGTTTTATTTATTTATTTATTTAGGTGGTTGGCCAGTAAAGGGATCTGAACCCTTCACCTTGGTTTTACAAGGCTGCACTCTAAACAAATGAGCCAACCAGCCAGCCCGATGAAGACTGTTTTAACGTAGCCATGAAATAGTTAAAATTTTTACCATACCTTATAACACAAAGAAAGCCTCAATAGTTATTTCTTTTTTTAAAAAAAAAGAGTAAAAATTACACAACCTCTTTCTCTAACTATGGAGCAGTAAAATTAGAAACAAAAAGATAAACAAAATAAAAGCAAGTCATCTGGAAATGAAAACACATCCCCTAAAATAATTCACATCAAAGCTACAATATTAGAAGAAAACATAGGTATAACTCTTCATGACCTTGGATTAAGCAATGGCTTTTCAGAGATGATACCTAAAGCACAGG